TTAGATTTCCCTTATATGAAAAATTACAATAATATATCTATTGTAATGAGCTAACATATAACAGTAAGATTGTTGCGAGGCTCTTGCGCAAGACCAAGACCCAGATCAAGACTGAGTCTGCAAGACCAAGACTTGTTTCGTATTTGGGAAACACGTAAAAATGGAAGGATAAATGAATCGTAAACCTATTTCTAAGCTTTAACTTAGGAATCTTATGGACTGTTCTTATTTTCTTAATTTTTTTAGTTGAAATATCTTATTCATTCTTATAGATTAATCGATATTGATTTTGATTTTATTTATTAAATATGAGGGGAGGGTGAAACGATATTCTCACTCTCTCTCTCTAGATTTTTTAGGTAGGAGGCAATGGCCAATAATAATAATAAAAGATAATAATAAAAATACATACAGTAACGTTGGCGTGACGCCACTAAACCTGGAGATATTCCAAATCGCCATGGCTATGTCACGCAACATCAATTATGTCCCATCTGCCAACTTGGTCGCACATAGCTTCACTAGATTTTATCCTCAATTGCAATCACATTTTGTTTTATTTATTTATTTATTCAATATTATTTATTTTCGTATTGGAAATGCTTAGGCGCAGACTTCAGCAGAGATTGGGGATGGGAGCGTCCCTCCTCCACAATAAACATATTTAGGGGGAGAGAATATCGTTTCGCACCCGCCCCCCCCCCAACATTTCGTAGAACAAAAATAAACTAAAAATTAATAACAATTAATCTATATGAATGAATAAAATATGTTAACTAAAATAAATTAAAGAAATAGGAAAAGTATGATAGATTTTTAAGCTAAGTATTTTACTCCACCCTATATATATATTATTGCAATTTTAAGTTATATGCAAACTTAATTATATGTTGTTTTTTTAAAATATTTTTATTGAGAAAAAAATACATTTTGCCTCAATTAAGGGCTTTGCGTATTGGGGATGTATGGAACACAACCATACCATATATACAATAAACGAAAAACAAAATTATAACAAAAGAAAAGAAAACTTGGAATAATAGAATAAATCAAACATGAGACAACATTAAATAAAAAAAAAAAAAAAAAAGGAAGGAGATGGTCCAGGGTGGTTTTCATAAATAATGGCGAAACTATTTTATTAAAAGCCAACGTTTCGACCCGACTTTGCAGATCTTTAGAGAAAGAACGGACAAGATACAAAAAGATATAGAGAATTGTGGAAGTTACATCACATTTAGATAAAACATTATAAATAATGTGAATAAACTTGTTAAAATAATAAACAGTAAGTACATTAAAATATTAAGAACAATAAGTTATATATAATATAATACATGCAATTGTTAATATACTCCTACAGATCCACAGGAGAGATTGGAAGAAAAGGAAAAATGATATAATATGAAATAATGGACATAAAGGAATGTGAAGATTGGTCGAAACGTTGGCTTTTAATAAAATAGTTATGCCACTATTTAGTCTATTCATCACAGCCACCCCGGACCATCTCCTTTCTTTATAATGTATATATAGAAATTTCCAATATAAAAAATGGTCTACTGAGTGATAAAATTGAATATCATAAATAAAAATTATGTTTTTTTTTTTAAAAGGATGAATTAATAAAGGGATATGGTTGTATTTATTTTAATGTAATATTTATTAACTAGATTAGAAATGCATAAATAGTGTTTTTTTTTGTTTTTTTATTCATTTATTATATTTACAACTGTATTCAGAAAAAAATTACATTCAGTAAATATGATAACAGAGGATAATAACATGAAAACACTTTTTGATAAACTACAAAAAAAGATTATAATAGAAGATCTCGAGGCCATCTTCTTTTGAGACGCCTCGGAGGGTCATCAGAGGTCGAAGAGGAAGCAAGGTTAGAAACAAGAGGATTTGGAATGATAGGTATCTTGGGCCAAATTTCAAAACATAAGGAACATTTAAGTCGTTATGCATAATTTAATTAGTGACAAAGTAAGGAGCGTTGGGGATTTTACGAAGGATTTTGGATTGTAAGGATTGGATTCGAGAGGAATTCGATGGCTTAGTGGAGCCCCAAAGCTCAATTCCGTAAGTCCAAATAGGTCTTATTATTGTCATATATATATGAGTCGTTTGTAATTGCTTGAAAGCTTAGAGCGTTTGTCTAGTAAGTGCTGCAGTAGTCAATTTTATTTATTTTTAAATGATGTCTATATAACTTGTAAAACCATATTATTCTACAATAGCCAAGCTAGGCTCTATTTGTATGGGAAACCCCTCAAAAACAAATAAATTTCTATGTATCTATCTATTATTCAAATAAATCTATCATGTATCATCTATCATCATCTCAAAAAAAAAAAAAAAAATTGTAAATATCCTGAATAAAATTAAAAAAAATACTAAATTAGGTGTAATAAAATAAGTGGTAAAAAGTAAATATTATTTAAGTGGTTGGGGGGGGGGCAGCCAACCCCCCCAGATGTAATGAGGTGCACTTCGGCCTATTAACTCCGAACAAATCCCGCCTCTGAGAAGACTTGTTGAAAGCTACCCCCAAAACTGGTCCTTCATATTGTGTTCCTTTGTCTTCCATCCCTCTAAGCTCCTTGCCCCGATTTCACGCTTAGTATTTTTTTTTTTTACCTACAATTACTGCAAGTGAGCCATTTGAAACGGTATCTGAAAGAATACTTTTCGCGTTTGAAAAGAATTAAACTTTACAAAGTTTACACTTAGTAAGAAAATTTCATTTGATTTCATTGAAAACACGTGGTTTACGTTAAATAATATTAGTTTTTAGATTATTATTTATATTTTTTCGCCTCTCTCATTTACCTCCTACAATTTTCTATATTAGATATTGTTTTGTTTTTTTTCAATTCTCCGCTTTTTAACGATATATTATACGTATACCTTGTAACAAATATTTCCGGCCTAGATGTGTATTTCTGTTTTTTCTACTATATTCAATTATCAAATTCTTTCAAAAGTTATATTTAGCATTTTTTCATAACTCCTAACAATGAGAAATAGTCATTATTTATAATAAACCAAATTAAAGGTACTTTAGAGGAAGCCACGATAATTTTGGGATTTCACAAAGGAAAAACTCATCAAATTAATCACTAATTTAATTTTTTTTTAAATGAGACGATTTTTCGGAATAAATGGACGTTGATACCTAATTATTTAAATATGACTATATGACATAATGACCAAAAAAAAAATTTCGAATGTGTTTTACAAAACAGAAATGGTGTATGATTCAGGGAAAAAAATGATAAGTTTTACTCCATTCCATGAAAAAATGTAGGGAAAAAACTTATTTTCATACCTTTTTTTAATATTTAGGCTTGTTCACCCGATCGCAATACTTTCCTTACCTAATATAGGTAGAAAAGTAATAAATTAAAACATGTGTAGAAAATAGAATAAGCTGTATCATCGTTTATACTGGTTCGATTCTGATGATTTTTTTTTTTGTAATTTAATTGCCTTTTTAAAAAGTTTAAGACATTTTATCATAATATGAAATATGAAATTTAAAAAGGCGCCTCTAATCTATTTAAGTTGCACATGACACCCAAACACAACTAAATAAATAATTAAAAATAACATTTATCCTTATTTACTTATACATAAAACATACATAGTACCAAGTAATTTATTTTATAAATCTGATCTCAGTTCAAATACTATTTTTTTTTTTCATTTAGAGTGCCTTTTTTTTTTTTTTTGTTAAACTTTTAGATAACATCATTACAAAAATCATTTTTTTAACTTTTATTTTATTAACTTTTTTCCCAAAAAGTTTCATAGAAATTATTAAAAAGGATCTTTTTAAACAAGTTCTATAAAAATTTAAATACCTCATATATATGTATTTATATATTCGTATGTATAAATTTTATTACTAGATTTTATGCATTAATGGAATCGTGTAAATCGTAAATCGTGAAATCATGTTATCGATTCTATGGTAGTTGAAACTTCTCTGTCAATATATTCGTCTATTATCGATTTATTTTATAATCAGGATCAATATCTCATTGATAAGAAAAACAGCTGTCGCTCACTCGATAAGTTACAATCGATTATAGTGGACTTGGTACTGCCAGTAATATAAACTATTTATATTATAACTAATTAATATTTATTTACATTTTAATTAATATTTTAAACTAATACCTATGAAGTTAGACTAGTTGGCCCGTGGGAATAATTCTGCACAAGAAAATTTTGTTTATTGAAGAAATAGCAAAACAATATGGAAATACGTAGGTCCTATGTATTATGTAAGGAAGGAATAAATATTTTTCCTTGGATATTATGATATTCCATTTAACATAATAGACCAAAATATTTGTATAAATTGCTTTGCTAGGGCCTATTTTTAAACGCTGACTGGAAAGATAATAAAAGTAATAAAGACAAAATAATGCAGCGATCATGGGATTTTCTAAATTATTAATAAAAATAAAATGTAAGAGCAAACAAATGCCTTTAAGAAATAATAAAATTAATATAAAAACCAGGAAAAAAAGTGTAGTAGACTATTCTACTCCTAAATGCAATATCTTTAAACAGGAAGACATTATTAAGTCTACCAAAACTAATGGACTGTATCTTTCTTAATAATTGTCCGATTTTTACGATATTTTGTTTGTATGGGTATTATCATATGTTTTGTATTATCATGGGTAAAATACAAGAAAAAATGCATATTTTTTGAGTTATTCGCAAATAAAGTTTCTTTTCCTTGATAACGTTTTTTTCCATAAATTGCGGAGGGATATAACTATTTTTCGTCTGAGAAGCAGATGAATATCTTCGAAATGAGTGGTCAATCATTGGATTTGATGAAGAATTGATGATATTATGGCGTACCGACAAAAAAACACCTTTTAGAAATAATATATAGGATAATTTATACATAAATTGATTTTCATGATTTTTCTACCTCATTTCACAACACACAGCCTCAAAGCTTTATATAATCAGCTGTATAAAATAATGCCTGAGTCGACCCAGATTTCCACGAAGATATCCGCTTCCATTGCACCGTTGCAAGATGCTCGTAAGATTGCACTAACAGTATTAACCTTGAACGTTGAAGAATTCACCGATCTCTTGCAATCGTCACGCGAATTCCTCGAAGTTGTGGAGTCAGTCTGGGAAAATCGATGACTTGGTACGATTTCATTTCGACCGACTTTATTTTCATAACCTGTAGATCCCAAACTTATCCTCCCATCAACTCCTAAAATAAGAAAAGTTGAATTCGAAATTACCTTCTTGGAAAGAATGAATCAGCTGTTTCTAGGAATTATTTTCACCTGTGAGAGGAAGTGACTAAGATTTGATTTCTCAACTACAGCTGTTTATTTTTAAAAAAATTATATCGGAATCATTTCAAAAATTCTGTTGCATCAATCATTTAAATTAAAAAAAAAAAATAATAAAATAGCACATTTTTTTGACTTGTTAACAATTTATTTTTGAAATAACTTCTATAGTCATTGGTTCAGACTCCTTTTTTTTTTTTATAAAATTATTAACATCCGCCTGAAACTTCGTATATAGTTCATTTCATCGTAACCTACAAATATTTTAATTACGTAAATTCTCGGAATTGTGGCTTTTTCCAACTGGAGATCGGCAAAATTTGTCTATTTAACTAGTAGGTACTAAAAATTCGTAAATAACCACTTCAATCGTATGATAATTTGAGTAAAAAATCCACAAAAAAGGCCAAACGGCCCAATACTTCTGTAGGCCACCTTTTTTCTCGATTTCGTGATCAAATTATTTCACGATTCAAATGGATATTTACGAGTATTTAGTACCTAATTAAATAGACAAAGTTTTCCAATCTCAAGTTTGAAAACGCCCTAATTCCGAAAATTTTCGAAATTGAAATATATTTAGGTTACGATGAGATGAAGCTATTCACGAAGTTTCAACCAGATGTTAATAGTTTGATGAAACGGGGTCTATACCATGGAATACTACATATTCTGGATGATAGTCAGTTTTAAAAATTTTTATTGCTAACGTTTCAACCCAAACTTGTGTCATCATCAAGGCTAAAAAAAATTTTAACATCAGAGATATAATAGTTAATAACGATAAATAGTGATGTATGAATAATAACAATAAATGTAATCATTTGTCTAGAATGAAGTAAATACTCATTCAATATTTCTCAATATACATTGTATTCAAATTATTCGATATAAGTTATCATTTTATTATTATTACACACACATAACTTTTTATCATTATTAACTATTATTTTATTAAAGCGTAGTTTCTCAACAAGCGTTTTCATGTGATTATATTCCTGTGTACACATTTACTTGATGTATTTATATTGTAATACAGCTGTAAATATCTTGAATAAATATTTAAAAAAAAAAAACTGTTATTTGTTATATCATTGATGTTATAAACATTTCAGCCCAGATGATGATCGACAAGCTTGGGTTGAAACGTAGTCATTAAAAATTTTAAAAAGTAAATATTTCCTGGACTATCATCCATTTTAATAATTCGCATGATCATTGAAGAAATTTACTATTGTTAGCATAAATAATCATCAACATAAAAAAAACATTTTTCTCTTAGAGTTTGGACAAGTTAACGCCACATTATATTAATTTAATTTTATATTTAATATTTTGGTTATTGCACTGTTTAGTTTTTTTATATTTGATTTCATTTCCATACTTATAATTCCATACTTAGAGAAAATATATTTGTTGTTTGAGAATTAAAAATATTGTTTGTTTGCGATTTGGTACAAATTTATGATGAATTGTCCGCCATTGTTAAGTAAAAATAACGTTTAGACGTTTTTTTGCTTGGCAACGAAACGGTAATTGTTTATAGCCTTACCGTCTGGACGTAGTGATTTTCTAGTGAATATGTTCAGTCCTTAGACCCGTATAATAAATATTTATTAATCATAATATCGAATTTAGCCATCTTATCATTTAAGAATAAATCGAGTTTTAGATGGTCTCATTAAATATTAGTACAACTAATTATATAAGTAAATCTGTGACAGTATAAGGGAGTGAGAAAACAGCATTTCATATCTTTTTTTTTTTGTTTGTGAAGGGAGTTATATTATTTTTTTCTTCTAAAGAATGCTTCCTGAAGAACATATGAAAAAAAATATTTAATCGTGTGTCGCAAAATTGAAAATGAGCAATAAAGAATCGATAGTGTTGAATAAAACATAACTTTTGTCAACTAACTTTATTATTTACTAATGTTTCGACTTCAATTGTATAACTATTTGTAATGTTTATTAGTTATATCGATTATTACGGTTAACAATTTCATCAGCCAATAAAACAGTAAAATATTCACCAATTATTGCATGTAAAATAACCTAACCTATTGAACAATGACTCTTATAGACAGCAATATACATGTATCTAATATGTTTCTATACCACTTAATAACATTATTATTATAAACGCCGATAGCTCAGGAAAAATTTGAACAATTAAAAAATAAAATAACATATATAAACTGAATTAAAACTTAGTGTTTAAATGAGGACACAATTTATAGAGTTTGATTATTTCGATGTCTAGCCGCAAAACAGCGCCAAATCAACTAAATAGCACCACTACCTTTATACTGTTTAGGTGGTTGGTAACAAAAATAAAAATAAAAGAATAAAATAAATAAATAATGATAATAATAGACACTTATAGATAATAAGATAGAATAGATAAATAAATAAACTTAAAAAAAAATAGCAATAAAATCAATAAATGAATTGAAATAAATAAATAAATGAACTTCCGAAATTAATAAAAATAAATGTGCAAAGGATCATTAGTTATAAACTTGTTATATATGTTTTATAATTTTTTTTATTGTCTAGGAACGTCATAACTTTGGTAAGGATTTCTTCTTGATTTCCCAGGGATGCTGATATATTCATTTAATTTAATTCACAATTTATAGATTTTTCAACCTAAATTAAAAAAGAAAATTGCCTTTTAAGCATTTTTATTCGTACAATCATGCCATGATTATTTTTAAGAGCATCTTTAAGAGTGAGTTTAAAAAAAGTTACAAGGTTAAGTTGTAAGTTATACGTAATAAAAATAAAACTAATTTATAAATATATATATCTCATATAGACCATATATTGAGTAAATCTGTGAGAAATAAACATTTATACTAGTTTTAGACATATTTTTTTTTTCTATATATTCCGTTTACCTATATATTCACTGTTAAATTTTATTTTTGTTCTTTTAATTTTGTTGAAACTTTTAATTTTTTTCTTTTCAAACTTCGAATTATCTTTAAAATTGTGAACTTTTGTAGTATTTTTTAAAATATATTTTTACTGTTTACAAGTTTGTTTTTCCATTATATAATTTTATATTGTATTTATTTTTTATTTATTCATGCACTTATTTTATTTTATTTTTTGTTTTTCTCTTTTCTAGTATGTTTCAAGTAATATTAATTTTTTCCATTAGTCCTATACATTAATTCTTATCAAATAAATCAATACATCGTGAGTTCATTGCAAAAAGTTAGTAAATAATATTCATAAAATAATATCATTATGCATTTTCATCAAATGAAATCATAACATTTTTGCATTTAATGAAACTATTATTTATAACTAATTTATTTTTTTTTTCGTTGAAATTTTACACAAAACCCTATTTTGCAACTAAAATAGTTTGTGCCATGGTTTCATCGATAAATAAGCTTGAAATTCACAAAAACGTTTTGAAAAATATTAATATTAAGTATAAATATATTAAAAATGTACTTCTGATTTTTTTTTTTTTTTTTTACAATAAACTGATAATATTTTGTATCAATTTATATACAATTTTGTTTTTCTATCAACGATATGATTCATGTAATATGCTTTTGCTTGGTGTATGAACATTATTTTGTAAGACCTGGTCTATGTCTGCCTGTCTTGGGCTATTTCTTTCCATTTATCTGCACGTAGTTCTTCTTGCATCTCTGTTGATTATATCTATCCATTTTTTTTTTTGGCCTTCAACGTGTTTTTTTTGCCTTCTATTGAGGCATTCATTGTTATGAAGAGGCTTCCAGATGGATTGCTACGAGCTGCACGCCCAACTTAACCTCCGTGCCTTCATATCATGGGATATTAATTGAACAGTTTCTGTAAGCAGTTCTTTATTGTTCTTTCTTCTCCATTTGTTAGTTCTCTGATCCAAGATAGCTCCGGTTATTCTGCGGAGGAGTTTTCTCTGAAATCTTTCATCTTTTTTTTTTTTTCTAGGGTGTTGGTTAGTGTACAGGTCTCTCAGCCACATATTAGAACTGGCTTTATCATAGCATTGTACACACTTAATTTGAGATTTTTTGAAATTTTTATTTTGTATGATATTGCTATATATTGTTTTTGTTAATTTAATAAAAAAAAAAAGTATAATAAATAAATATATAATGTGAGTAGCAGATCCTGATAATACATGCCAATACTACAGCTCGTGTATAGCTTGAGCTAAACCTGTGGATTCAGACCTCAGAGATCAATAGTGCTGAATAAATGATAGAACTGCAGCACGCACCAATTGCAAAATGGTCTCCCTATCTTACGTTATTATAGTTATATTATACATTGATATTATTATTTATATTATATAAGTCAATAGATATTTAAGAAAAATAGCGGGAAAAATTCCGAAATCCTACATAAACAGAAACGATATATATGTTATCAACATATTAGTAAAGTGTAGACAGAGCAGAGTATGAAATGAAATTTTAACTTTTTTTTTTCCTGTTAAACTTTTCTCCCTTGTAACTTTTTCAAGAAAGGTTGTACAAAATTTTTATTTTTAAACAAATTAAATTTTTAAAAATAATTAATTGGAATGGATTAAAATCACAATATAAAATGTCTAAATGAATAAAATCTTGTGAGTGCAGGCTTCAGTAATAGACAATAAGTATGTTACGAGGACAAAATAGCCAAAATTATTTTATTTTTATATTATTAAATTATTCACATACATATAAATATAAAATGGTTATTGATAATAATTAATGATCAAATGCAATAAGTCTGAGATGTTTTTTTTTTCATTAAAAGTTGTATTCCCTTGAAGATGGCCTAAGGGCTGAAACGTTGAGTGTAAAGTAAAATTTAAGGACTGGGAATTTAATGCGTGTTTTTTATTATATCAAAAAAATAATTATTTAAAAGTTCTGTTGATTTAAAAAAAAGTCGAT